TGTTTTGCCAACTCAGTTTCACAAATATGACAAATGGTTGCATTTGAAATTTGGTTTTTGTCTTCATTTGTTAGCGGAAGTGGTGGATATTTTTGAAGTCTATTTATTTCTTTTAGATTGTTAGATAAACTTTCCATAAACACTTGTGCACAGTTGGGTCCGCAATATGTTACATATTTTGATAATTGATCATCATATGAACATTTTATATAATATCCAAAACTATGTACTTCATGTTTCTGAATATTATGAGTGAAAGGTTTGTAAGGATCGTTAGAACATGATTCTATTGGTTTTAAAAATGCTTCAAAATCAGCATAAACTACGAATGGTATCTTTAACTTTTTTTCATAACTATCAAATTTAATTTTATCATTTGAAATAGGTTGACCAAACCAATTCTTTTTTTTTAAAGTTTCACTGTTTGGTAATACTGTACAAATGTGAGCACAATCGTATTGTTCATGGTTATTTAACCTTTCCTGAGATGGAAAACGAAGTAGACATGCTTCACAAATGTACATGATGTGACCGTCTTTTGAAATTTGTTTACTAACTAACCGCGATAAATTTTTTATATAGCAATAATGATTTTTTGTATCCTTGGAAAAAAATAATAAATTGATATGTCTATCTTTACGACACTTTGTTAAAAATAATGGACCTACTATAGAATTACATCGTTTTTCTTTATTATATTCTAACCCAAAAACATTAATACTAATATCATTTAATTTCTCTACTTTTGCTATGTCAGAAATTTTAACCGGAAAGGAAATACCATCAAATTTAAGTTTATTTGCATGTTTAACGTACGATGATACCCGATCGGTGTGTTTGTTTACAGGATATAACGCCGAGAGTAACGCCCATTTAAAACAAAAATAATCCTTGTTTTTTACATTTATAACAGCCTTTTTTAATTTTATGTCACGAGGAAGATCTATGTATGAAGTACCGCGTAGGGGGTTAAATTTATTAACATTCATGTCTATAGATTTTATGTTTTTTAGACTCCATCCACTATCTTTTTTTTCGAAAGCACTAATTTTAGTAGTAATTGTATCATTTAAAGATGAAAGAAAAATATTTAAGTCATCTCCTTGACAAATAATATAGTTAAGCGTTTGAAAATCGAACGTATCATGAATATCTTTAGTTTGTTGAACAAAATCAGCATGCAATATGAAGTTTACCTTAAAAATTATGTGTTGATGAATACACTCTTGTAATAAAAATAAAATATCATCTTTAATAGAATTTAAAAATAGTTCAGGAGTTTCAAAATTTACCCATGTCGAACGATCTACTCTACTCTTCATTTTATAAGTTAAAATCCTATTTCCAAAAGCAGATTCTATAACACTAACGTTTGATAAAGAATTATGTGAATTTAAAAGATTATTTTTATGAACATTACTTTTAAAATGATTAGCTAAATACCGTTTCTTGATAAATATATGGCACGTTGGACATTCCACTTGATCATCGTTACTGATACTGTTCCCTGCAGAGGTATGCGCTTCTGCTTCCGTTGTTGGTTTTTTGATGATCTTGGATTCTTTGCTGCACGTTCGCTTCGTTCCTCTTCCAAGTTGTAGTGGTTGACTGCTAAAATGTTTAAATTTATTAAAAACTGTATAAGACAATATGTAAATTATGATCGAAATGAATGTTTATTTTACATACTTAAACTGTGTTTCAACCATCGCACAGTGATGATACAACTCATCATCGTATGACGAATCGAACAGTTGACCCCTCTCCATTTCTTCACAAACTTTAGACAACTCCTGATTTATTTTATTATTATTATTATTATTATTATTATTTAATTCGCTATTGAATAGTTCCGTATTCTCTTCCATGATTGTGGCGAAAAAAGCACTGGTGCACACTTCACTGAAGTTTTCCCTTCCTCTTTTTTATTTTTGATTCAGCTTCAAAAAAATGATCAATCGATTGCAATTTTCTTTTTCCACCATCGCATGTGTTATTATTAATGACGAGGTTATCACTCTCTTCTTGAGGGGAGAGTGGCGAGTAGTAATACTGTTTATAGGTATCTTCATCGAAGCTCAATGATTTCTGCAACAACACAGTTATCATGTTAATATCAATTTGTTAACACTTAATCATAAAAGTTAAAAAAGTTAAAGTTACAGCCTATTAAAGTCCACTGCTGAACATAGGCCTCCTCTCATTTCTGAGAGGGTTTTAGAGCAAGGAAATGTCCGCCGCGCTCCCTCAATGTGTGTTGGCGAACTTCACATGCCTTCGAAATTTTCTCAGACATGCAGGTTTCCTCACGATGTTTTCCTTCACCACCAAGCACGTGGTAATAAGCACTTAAAATTGCTATTAACAATTTAATTGGTGCTGGCGGGGATCGAACCCGGGTCGCGTACTGTGAAATTTACAGCTAGCGCTAACCATCTGAGTTACCACGGCTTAATCATATACATACACAATATTTAAATAAAATAATACACACACATGAAAATAACAGAACACGTGGTAATAAGCACTTAAAATTGCTATTAACAATTTAATTGGTGCTGGCGGGGATCGAACCCGGGTCGCGTACTGTGAAATTTACAGCTAGCGCTAACCATCTGAGTTACCACGGCTTAATCATATACATACACAATATTTAAATAAAATAATACACACACATGAAAATAACAGAAAAAAAGTAATTTAGTCAATAGAATAAACACTTACATCCATAGCCTTTGGTGTATTGAAGTAACACAAATGTACTATTGATAGATCCACTGTAGCCAAACGACCGTACACTAACTCGATGACTGCGTTTGTTGGTCTTATATACCACCAGTACGTAAAAATTCTAATCTAAAGTATTTCCGTAATGAGTTGATAATTACTTTATGCGTCAACCAGTTTATCTCACATTTCCGTTGCCTATCTCAACATTTCTTCGTATTGTGTTTTGTTTGGTGATCAATGACTCAAGTACGATTTGTATAACACAAAAATGCAATTTAATATTTAGAAACATATCAGTTTATCTCACATTTCCGCTGCCTATCTCAACATTTCTTCGTATTGTGTTTTGTTTGGTGATCAATGACTCAAGTACGATTTGTATATCACAAAAATGCAATTTAATATGTAGAAATCACTATAATTGACCATTCCTATGTTATTCATTGAGTAGCTAGGTACTGTAATAATCTACTAATAGCAGTAATATCATGGATACACTAGATGTACAACAACATCTGAAAAAGATTCACCCCAGTCTAGAAAATAATGTTTATGCAGCTAATAGACTGCCTATGTATACCCACGTACCAACGTATATAATATGTAATTTGGATACAGATGATAAACCAGGGTCACATTGGGTAGCTTTATATATCGATACGAATGACGTCGGTCAATATTTTGATTCATATGGACGATCACCTGTACGATATCATCTAGAGTTTTTAAAAAGGAATTGTAAAAGATGGAACTGGAATGTTGATAGGATTCAGAATGAGTGGACTTCAGTTTGTGGCGAATATTGCTTAATGTATTTACTATATAAGTTTCAAGGATGTTCAATACATAGTTTTACGAGTATATTTACAAGGAACACATTGTACAACGATATTTTAGTGGATGAGATGTTTCGCTCCTATTTTATAGATAATAATTAATAAGATTTTGTATTTTATAAATAAAAATTGTAACAAAATTATGTAATGTGTTTTATTGATGATTCAGATTAGCGTTGTATAAACAAAGAATTATAATACAATAGCACTGATATAGTCGACGCACACGCTGCAATGAAGGTGATTAAGGAACAATAGAACAATAGAAATAGGAACAATGGGACGCTAATGACGGTGGAGGCCCTTACCGGATATCAATTAGATATTAGTATAGTATTATTTTTTTTTTTTTTTTTTTTTTTTTAGGATCGGGCGTCGACGAACGTCGTTGAACCACGTCTGACTCAGGTGGTCTAGAAGTGGTACAACTACACTACTGACGGATGTAAAAAATTTACAAATCTTCTTCGGCGGCTATTAGTATGTTTTAATGGAAACTCACTTCAAGATGTAGCCAATCTTGTCTGTGACTCTTCTGGCGTACGGTAGTATAGCAGGCACACGCTCGACCGTGGCCGACTTCATTCGCTAACCGTGACGTAGGACTCAAATCTAGTTGTCTTGCATGACGTGTTGGAGCTCGGTGGCCACATTTTCTGTCACTTGGTAGCTAACTGTGATGAATGATGGTGAGATACACTATTTAAATATCGGTTGGTATGGGTTGCTTTTCTATACTATTGTGTACCCTTATTCTATAAAAAGACAGGCAGCTTGATTTTCCTGATAACAGTTCAAAATAATAAAAAAGTGTGGTCACTCACCCACCTGCCTAGCGTGGCAAATATGATAAATATCCCTAAGAAGCAATCTATGTGGGAGGCCTATGTTCAGCACATACTTTTGAAGTGTTGTAATAATAATAATAAAGATAGCCTAAGGACAAATGTCCAGACACAGAACAGTTGGTTGTCATAAAAATAGATTAATACGAGTAGCCACTTGAAATTATATCATGTAGTAATTTATTGATAAAAGTGTCATCTAACCAACTCGGCATTGCTGAAGCACTGTTGAAGGAAACTTTGCTACAAACCGTATTATTTTTACGATTTTTATGACATTCTTACAGAAATATCTGGTCTATAATAGCTTTTTGTAAAATTGTTGTGTGATTAATTTATCTTTACATGTTAATTGACATTTTTGTTAAGGAGCGACTAGCTTAACTTGGGAGAACTTCTATGACTTCCAAGTTAAGCTAGTGGTTCCATAAAATTGTCACAATTGCGCGGGATACATATCTCCACCCGTCGATATAACATTTATATGGCATACGTAACCTATCTAAAAATTATAATGAGCTAATGTTTAAGTTTAAGTTGTTTAACAGTGGTAGAGCCACGCGGCAGCTTTTGCTGTCGCACGGATGGGCCGGCTCGAACCGGGGTGGTACCACGACCTCACAGAATACCAGCGTGAGGTAGAGGTTTACCTCTGCGTTTCACTTGGTGAGTGCAGGTGGCGGGAGGCCCTTTTTACTGGAAATGAGGCATTCCATCTTAGTCCTCACGGGTGGCAACGCATCTGCATTTTGATTCGTAAACGAGGATAGATGTAGATGTCTATGGGCCGCAGCAACCACTTACCATCAGGTGGACTGTGTGCTCGTTTGTCACCCTTATCCTATAAAAAAAAGTATCGTTAAAATAAAAAGTGTTTACATTACAAATATACAGAATTTCATGTACTAAATTTCTATACAAAATATAATTGAAATATATAAAAGGTCATTAAAGTCCCTTAATATCAAAAAGATTTTATAGTCATAAATGAAATAGAACAGTAATAGAACGCTTTGGGGCAGTGCGGTGGACACTAATGCCATAAAAACTTGGCCTGTGCTCAGCTGTGGGACGTATGTAGGTTGTAATTTAAAATTACTTTTGACCTAAATGGAATAACATGTATTAACAAAAGATTCAAAATCAAAATCATTTATTCGTTAGCGAAATGTGGGTTACCATAGATCTTAACAATTTTAACAAAAGTACAGCAATACTCTACCTTCTGTTGTGCAAACTGTAGTCCTTCCGTACAGGAAGTTGGCAGTGTTCACCTTCGTCTTTCGGAAAGCACGTAAAGCCGTTGGACCTGCGCCTGATCTCTCTCCGGTCGCGTCGGATTTTCGTACCATCTTACTATGAGAGTGAGGAAATAGAGAGTGCACCTGTGCTTGCGCATATACACTACGGCACTAATCGTGTGCTGCGCAGATGGTTAGTCTCTGTTGAGACTGGCCGATGCGGCCAAATTTCGGTCTAGAGGACATTATATTATATTAGATGTAACGTCTAACGTCGAAAGCTGTTGCTAATTTAGCCGTAAATTGTCATTATTGAAGTATCATCGGCTTCCACAATCGCCTTTTATTCGCCATTGTCGACCAAAGTTTTCGGACGACCACGGAGTTCATTATCAGGTTGAAATTTCCAGAACGGAAGCGGGAAAACCAATAACAGGTGGTGCGTTCGTTTGTAGTATTCGCTCCGTAAACGTCGTTGAGGTTGTGTGCCGCTTGTGTCGCGTTGCTGCCACGACGGTACTCATATTCCTTAATTACTCGAATTTTTAACATATCCATGATGACGATAAGGATTAAAATGAGATGAAAACATAATGCTAATCAATAAAAAAATGACTAATTTTAAAAAAATAATTGCATTTCACTTAATATTAAGTTTTAAAAGCAACAACATTGAAATAATAATTTTTCTTGTAGAACAGAAAACGTGTACATGATAAATATTTTCATTTGAAAACAGTGTCGAAAAATGGGGATGACAGTATACTGGACTACGTTCCGTTTTAAAGAGTAACCAGTATAGCAAACAAAAAAGGAACGGCTTCACAGTAGTATACTGAATTGACGCCACACATTACCGTGGTCACAGTGTATATCGGAACATATCCGTAATAATTAAAAAGCTGAAAGTACTCCGGGTTAACTTTGACATAAGGACGTCAATCACCTCATTCGCCCCGTGATCATGGGTGCTGAAGTGAACGTGAGGATTAAAAATAAGTTAAATTAAACGCATAAAATCCCTTAAAATAGTTTTATGCGATGTGTAGTGCTCGGGTAAATATAAGAAATTATTTTAATTAACTGTCAAATTTTATACTTCATATTTTAATTTGCATACTTTCCGCGGGATATCTTCCTTGAAACAGGCTCTAGTTTAAACCTGAGACTAAAGATAAACTACTTTTTGTAATACAAACGGACGGTTTGTAGTTTGTAGACGTTAGACTTTAACAGTTGTAGTTATCAATATGATCCCAGAAGAAAACTAAAGTTTACAATTTTTGTTTGACTGCGTAGAGGCGATGTGAGAACATTAACTACCACAACCAGGTAGTAGGCGACAGACGAAAATTATAACTAGATAGGCAGCTGCATCTTCTCGATATCAGCTGAAAATGCGTGGCAACTATAGCAAAATATAAGACAATTTATAAGGGAGTGCTATACATGATAAACGTTCGATAGGCTGTACCGATATAAAAATTTAGAGTTTATAATTTGTAGTTATCAATTTAATCCACGGAATAAAAAAGTTTAGTTCTTATTTTTGTTTCGAGTTTTCTTGAAATAAAAAATATATTAAAAACGCTATTTATAAGAAAAGCGTATTTCTGTATCTCTTCTAGCCTACACTAGATAATTCTGTTCTGATATGCATATAAGAATATGTATTAGAGAATCTAATGCACAAAAATGAAGCTGGAATTTCACCAAGTGGCAACAATCGCAAGTATAGATGATATAGACTATATTATACACCCATATATTGTAATTACCAAAAACACTTAGCTAGCCTAGTTTTTGGATAAAACAAACCTCGATAACATTGTGATAGATAAATAATAAAAAATTCTGACAGCGCCATTCATTATCTCTAGTAACATCTGCTGCAATTGTACTTAATTTTTTTTGGTACTTATAAAATAGTGATGTATATAAACCATAGGTAAACGAGAGACTATTAATTAACCACCTATTACCAAACGGTAAATGTTAATATAGATAAATCAAATGTTACCTCTCCGATTTTAATACATTTCCCTTGTTACAGTTTCCGGACGAATACAGAGCGATTAGCAAGTATGTCTCCTGCAGCAAGAAAACTGGCCGCAAAACATCTTTTGTCACCCAGACTGAAGCTTACACCAAATGACATGGGTATTTTAGCGCACGGCACTACCCCAAAACGAACTACAACACCGCGAAAGAGGCCTCTCGTGGCAACACCGAATATGAGTAAAAAGGCGGCAACACCAACGCAATCGTTGAATGTCGAAGCTGGTTCAAATGTTACTGAAGATAATACCCTCACAGATAATCTGCTACAGATTAATGTTACAAAACGGACGAGATTAAAAGCGCAAGATTTTTTTACGACCAGTTAGCGTTCCTATAATTATAACTCATTAAATTATTCTAAGTTAAGACTGTTTTTTTTTTAATTTAAAAACAAACTACTTATATTTTTTTCTTTTTTGATAATGAACTCGTACTGTTGGAATGGTGACAATTAATTAAGTTTCAAATAAATAATATTGAAGTGCCTGTTTGTAATGTCAAAATAACAGTCTTTTACTAATTGCATATAAAAGTATATACGGTACCTATAACAGAAACACAATTTTAAAAATTTTTGTCTGTCTGTTTGTTTCGGCTACTCTCCGAAACGGCTGGACCGATTTTTCGCTGGACTTTCACTGGTAGATAGCTCATGTTATAAGGAGTAATTTAGGCTACTTATATTTTTAAAAATAATTAGGGTTCCGTGCAACAAAATGAAAACCCTAAATTACACGAGGACGAAGTCGCGAGGAACAGCTAGTAAATAATAAATGTACTAAGAAATCGCCGTTGTAGTCCTTTAATAGTAAACAAAAATTGTTTTACGTGCACTATCTCGCTTCCAGCATCGGTCGCCACCCCTTCATTCTCTACGTCCCACGCATTCGAACCAAACGATTTGCTTCTTTGTTCGTAATGTGTAAAGAAAAGTAGTGAAATAATTTACTATCTCTGTCTTTCCATCCAATTGTAATGTTTTTTGTAAATTGTGGGTATCTTCAAGGCTAGATTGAACAGGCTTTTATTAAGCTAAGCTAATGCGCTTTATCCTCTTCGCCTACATCCCAACTTACCATCAGTTGTGATAGCATCCAAGCACTTAATAGATAAAAAGTATGTTATAAGCCAGTCATATACGAGGGCCAACATCTTTACCTTTTATTTTATTCCTTTCCTTCCCACCGATTCGATTTATTTCACCCCGTCCGAATTACAAGAGATACTTCATTTGGTCTCAGTGAAGGACGTACGAGCATGTTGTATTTTACTTCGCACACGCATATATCGGCACCGTTCACGTACACAGACCTATGCATACATATTATCGAGGGTGGCTATCGTATGCCGCCGCTAGGCCACGCGGTCGTTCTGTGATTTATAATTCACAGGAGCGTCGAAATTATTACGATTAGATTTCAAGGGGTTTATTTTTTTTCCGCGGAGCTCTAATTATTTTTTCAAAATAAAAGTAGTCTAAGTTATTTCTTATAACAACTGTTATCTGCCAGTAAATGTCCCGTAAAAATTGTTCCAGCCATTTCGGAGATTAGCCGACACAAACAGACAGAAAGACAGACAGCCAAAAAATTTTAAACCGACAACCAAAAATTGTTTTTTGTTATAAGTACAGTATATACGTTCATATGCATTTAGTAAAAATCTGTTATTTTGTCATTAAAAACAGACACTTCAATTTTATTTATTTGTATAGATGTTTAGATATAGGTATAGGACTCTCCTGTTATGTATTATATAAACCACAAATATATTTGCTCTTGTCACAAACTAATTACAGTACCTGACGCTGTTGCCTGTCGTCGGTCTGAGTATTTTTTTTCGTTTGGCATACCGATGGATGGTTTACCGCCGTTTTTCAGAAGCCACAAGAATTTGGCTCCGTGAATGAATTCATAATTATGATACAGACTTTGGTGGAACGAAGTGGTAGAAAAATGTTATTATTTTAGGTTATACACAGGTGGATCAAAGAGGAAACAACTCATAACTTTAGATATTAAATTAAAAACTTAGATATTACCAAAGATACTGGTATCGATGGATTGGCGCCAATATTTATTAAAAGTAGTGCTGATAGTTTAGCTTTTCCTTTGTTTAGAATTATAAATAACTCATTTATTACTGGAGTTTTTCCAGATGTGTGGAAGCTTGCAAAGGTAGTACCAGTCTTTAAATCAGGTGATATTAATATAGTTTCGAATTATAGGCCAATCTCCATACTCTCTACATTAGCCAAGCTTCTTGAATCATTTGTTTGTCCTGACATTCAAACCTATTTCCGACAATTTATGACGGACTCTCTGCACGGTTTGGTAACAAATAGATCAACTTTAACTAATCTTGTAACTTTTGTCGAAGATCTTGTAGGTGCTATTAACAATAGAAATCAAGTTGATGTTATCTATACCGATTTTAGCAAGGCCTATGACAAAGTTTCATATTAAATTTAAAGGAAATTAAACTTATATGGATTCACAGGAAGGATTTGGAATTGGTTTAAGTCTTAATTTAAGTAATCGTTCACACTATGTAGTCTTGGGTGGGTTTAACTCTGATACTTAAGATATAACATCTGGTGTGCTGCAAGGATCACATCTTGGGTCCATTCTTTTTAACATCTTCATTAACGATATAACTGATAATTTTATCTACTCTAAACCTTATCTTTATGCCGACGACTTTTTTATATTATTCTAAGACAGCCAACTACAATCCCACCTGATGGTAAGTGGTGATGTAGCCTAAGATGGTGAAGTGCACTGACTTAACAAAATCCTATTCACTCTTGCTTTGAAGACACCCACATTGTAATCGGATGGAAACAGATGCTAGCAACTTATTCCACACCTTTGCTGTACGCATGATGAACGATGTAGCAAACCGTTTGGTTTAAATGTGTGGTAAGAGAACAATGAAGGGGTGGAGACTGGCCGAACGTCTGGTTGTCCGATGGTGGAAGGGAGAGGGAGTAATTAAATTATTTATTATGTATTAATGAAGTACATAATAAATAATTTAATGAAGTATAGTAAAGTAATACCTTTATTTAAATCTGGTAGTACATTGGACCCCGCTAATTATAGACCTATTTCTGTACTACCAACTCTCAGTAAAATTTTTGAAAAAATAATTTTGGTTCAATTGTTAATTTTTTTTAATACAAATAAATTACTTCATAAAAATCAATTTGGTTTTACAAGGGGTCGCTCGACGTCTGACGCCGGTGTTGAGCTTATGAAATATATTTTTAATGCCTGGGAGAATTCACAAGATGCCATAGGTATTTTCTGTGACCTTTCCAAGGCTTTCGATTGTGTTCATCATGATACATTAATCAGGAAACTACAACATTACGGTGTAAAAAATTTGGCGCTTAAACTTATTACTTCATATTTAAGTAACAGAATTCAAAAAGTCGTCATTAATGGTAAATGTTCCTCCGGATCGGTAGTATCAATGGGCGTTCCTCAGGGCTCGATTCTTGGCCCATTCCTGTTCTTAATCTATATTAATGACTTAACTTATCTTGTAGGGGACAATCACGATATAGTATTATTTGCTGACGATACCTCTTTAATTTTCAAACTGAAACGGCAGTCAATTAAATATGACGATGTAAATAATGCCCTATCGAAACTAGTACATTGGTTTAACGCCAACAATTTGCTCTTAAACGGCAATAAGACAAAATGTATTAAATTTACAATACCTAATGTAAAACATTCGAAAACCAATGTGCTCTTAAATTGGGAGGAGTTGAGTCTTGTGGATACCACTGTTTTTCTCGGTATTACTATTGACGCGAAACTTCAATGGGGCCCCCATATATCTAAATTAGCAAGCAGACTTAGTTCTGCAGCATATGCTGTAAGAAAGATTAGAAGTCTCACAGATGTTGAGACAGCTAGGTTAGTGTCTAGTTTTAGTTACTTTCATAGCGTAATGTCTTATGGAATTTTGCTATGGGGTAATGCGACTGATATTGAAGCTATATTTGTTTTGCAAAAGAGAGCCGTACGGGCGATTTATAATCTAAATTGTAAAGAGTCCCTTAGAGAAAAATTTAAAGAAATAAACATATTAACTTTGGCATCGCAATGTATTTATGAAAATGTAATGTATGTACATAAAAACATAAATAGCTTTAATAAGAATAAGGATGTTCATACCTTAAACACTAGGAACAAACATAAGCTTGTAATGCCACTTACTAGACTCCACAGAATTAGTAATTCATTTATGGGGCAATGTATACGCTTTTACTACAGAATCCCAAAACATGTTCAAAGTTTGTCAATAAATAAGTTTTATTAAAGAAAAACTGTACAAAAAGGGTTATTATAATATCAAGGAATAAATAAATGAAAATAACCCCTGGGAATAAGGTGATCGCCACCATGCTGGTTCTATGAAAATTCATTTAAAATTGTATAAACAAAATTATTGTTAAGTGAAATTATGTTTAAAAAAAAAACTCCCGCTGGGTTTCTTGCTGGTTCTTCCCAGGACAGAGGTATTTTCCGAACCAGTGGTAAATAAAATAATGACTTTCAATAAGTATTATGTAATAATCCATATTGAATAAAAATCATTCTATTCTATTCTATGCAATTTCTGCGCACACTCCGATATGCATCCTGTAGAAAACCGAAAGGCTGGCTACTTTGCGCCTGTGTTCGAGACTGGTAAGATCGGTTTTAACCAAATTCCGGTCACCAATAAGCCTCTTAGCACGTCTTTCCATTGAATCCAAAGCTGCTAGGTGGCATTTTGCAGCAGCAGCCTCCCAATGGCAGCAATACTCCATTCACGACCGGACTTGCGCTTTATATAAAGTAAGCAGCTGCCTCGGCGTGAAGTATCGCTGCATCTTTGGAAGGTCTCTCCTAGCTTCCTTGCAGCTCTTTGGCCTTGGACTCAATGAACCGCCCGAAGTTCATATTTGAGGATATCTCAACCCCCAACATCTGAAGGGGGTCGGTGTATTCCAGTGATACATTTCGGCAACAAGGAGCCAAGATGACATCATAACCTTTTGTGCTCATTGTAAGTTAAGTTAATTTAAATTAACTTAACTCTACAATGACAGAACACTCTGCTCTCCAAAAATCTCACGGTGGTATTAGGCCTAAGGGTTTATCGCTTGTATCTTTTAAAATTCGCGGGTTGCTAAATAACCTCCCAGAGCTTATCTCTTTCTTCGAGATCGCGAAGCTGATCTCCTCCTCCTCTAGGAAACTAATTTCAAAATTAAGGACATTAAAGGCCTTTCCATTCAAAAGTTTTCTCTTCTTCGTAATGACATACCCGACCGCCAAGGCGGCGGTACGGCCATTTATTACAAGAAGACACTTAATTGCTCTCACATTTCTACTCCGCAGCTTACCAACATGGAAGCTATGGTATGCAGGCTAGCAATGACTGGACATCAATCCATCGTCATAGCCGCCTGTTACATCCCCAGTGGAACCCTCCCCCTCAAAAAAGATTTTGAGGCTATCTTACCTTTAGGCAACTCAGTCATTATGTTTGGAGATTTCAACACCAAGTATACTGAATGGACATGCCGCACTACTTCTCAGAGTGGCAAGAAACTGCTTGATATCACGCAGTCTCTTGACCTTACCGTCCACAGTCCCCTCGGTGTCACTTACTATCCCGACAACACCGACCACGCTCCCGACGTGCTAGACTTTGCGTTAGTCAAAGGAGTTTCCATCAACCTCAGAGCAATCGAGACTAGACGATCTAGGATCCGACCACCGACCGGTCTCACTCATTCTTGGCCATCAGCCACCTCCCTCAACCCCCTCCACGAAAACCTTCACTAACTGGAAGGGCTTCTAGGAGTCCCTAGCTAAAGCTATGGACTCTCAGGACTCCCCCATTTCCCTCTCGTCGGACTTCGACAGTCCCGAAAAAATCGACACCGCGGTCGATTCTCTCTCCACCCTTATAAATTCCTCCCTTAAGGAGAATGAAAAGGTCGTCCCGGTTGCTAATAATGATGGTCTTCCCCTACATATTAGCAACCTACTGAAAGCCAAGAGCCGAATATAGGCGTACGGTCAATCGTTTTCAACGAGAAGTCTTTAATAATATTTAGGTGTCACCCTTGACACGAGGCTCACCTTCGGGCCCCATATCAAAAGAGTAACCCGCAATGCACTTTTTTATCTGAGTAGGGTCAACAGCATGCTGGGCCGACACAGTAAAATGTCCCTCCGAAACAAGCGAACCCTTTATAAGGTCTGTATACGACCAGTCATGTCTTACGCGGGCCCTATATTTGCTCACGCTGACCCTAAAATCATAAATGAACTCTAAATAGTTCAAAACCTCTTCTGTCGTCGAGCTACGAACGCACCCTGGTACCCTCCATCGGGACTTAGAGCTCCCTACAATCCAACAATTTCTAAAAACACTCTCTGAGAACTTCTTCAAAGCCTCAGAGTCTCACTCCAATCATTTTATTTGTGAGGCAGCTACTTATGCAGCCCCACTCGTCTCTCGCTATCGAGGCCACAGGCCGAGAAACTTTCTCTCGGACCACGTATAAAAAGTTATAAAACAAATCAAATATATAATGTCTTTATTTGTAGCACGCACTTCACTGAGTATTGTAGCGAAGTATGACGACCGCACTACGCTACCTATTTTTTTTTAATTTGCGGCTGGAAAAGATACAGAACAGATTTCTTTGGCACCTGGCGTACTCTTCTGGAATGGCGCAAAGAAGCCTCTCTTACTCTTACTGCTACAGACTAAATCATTTTAAATAGACGCTCTTGAAGAATGAAGAACTTTTATTTTAAAAATTTTAAGAAGTCAAATAGACTGTCCCCAACTTCTAAGTTAGTGGCCAGGACACTCCCACGAGCTTCCATTCTTCCACTTGCCCCTCCATTTCGTAGGACTGTGCTTGGTAACAACTCTTCTGTAGTTAGGTTAAGTAAATATTATAATGGGGTCAGTAGCCGGACAGATATTAATTTTATTTTCTCGTACAAGTTTCGCAAGTACTTGTTAGACACAATTTCAAATTAAGTAATGTTTTGTATACTTTTTACACATAATATCTAAATTAGTGGTTGTTTTGTTTTTTTTTTTTTTTTTTTTTTTAAAATGTCTTAATTAATTTTTTTCTTAACATAATATTATGTAAATTAAGATTTTAATTATGGCAATTAGTTTATGACTTTATAATATACTTTTAAATTTAGTCTGTTAAATTTTAACAATTATAGGTAGACGTAGACCTTTTAAAATAAATAAATATGAAGATTTTTTCTGGAAAAAAGACATTTTTCTGGAATTTTCCAGAGTTGTCTCTTACAACACCCAAATGGGTAGGTAGACTTTCTAACGCCGTTAACACGCGTCATGTAGCATAACGTCCCATAAGGCATGAGTCAACTCGACTGGGAAAGTTTTTTACTTTCACAAAACACGTATAGGTACTCTTTTCACTGATAACGAGGAATTCTATTTCAGGCCTTAGGGGTGACACTACATTGTGAAGGGGCCCGCAAGGGCCGACGCCTGCCGGGGCTGCGGGCTGTTGGAAAGAGATACCGCGGCTCCGGAACGTAAGGGCACTGAAGGAACACGGATGGTTTTTAGTCAGTAAAAGTCTGACACTCCCTTCCGCTCCACCCAGAGCGAAAGGCGTCATTTGATGATTTTCCATCCGCAAAAAAAAAAAAAAAAAAAAAAGGGGTGACACTACATTTGTATTTTGATTTTAATCGAGGCGGAGGTAGGGGGACTCTGTGCTCTTTCGTCACCTTTTTAAAATAGTCGATTGCGATTGCACGGATCGACTTAACTACACATTAAAAGACATCTCAATTTGTTTCAAATTTATTTCAATAATTTCAAAAGTAATACATTTTACATAATAATGATTTCTTATATACATAAAAAAATATAATTTTCAAAAACTTAAAAATAATGCCGTGTATTCATTTATACGGCAAAAATACCTTGTTTTTTCAATTAGCTTTCAGCTTACAAAATTTTGCTTACTTTGGTTAACAATTTACTGTTAAACAGATACTTAAATATTTGAATATTGAAAACAAATATTTACGTTATAATTATGTACTTTTTTCTCGAATAAAAATGTTCCAATTAAAAATGTATTAGTAAAGTTACTGCTTACGTTATTGCTTATTACTACTGGGCACAGAGCTCGCATTTCCGAGAGGATTTTAGGGCAAGTAAATGCACGTGTGTGGTTGGTAGACTTCACAAATCTTCGAATTATTTTTAAACTTTCTTAGCCCAGGACAAGTGATTCCTTCACTGTCGAGCGCGTGGTAAATCTGCACTTAAATATTGCTCACATTGATGCCGGCGGGATCAACGGCTCGGCTTTTTATTCTAATAACAATGTAATGTTCCGTTCTGTTCAACGCGGATTCAGTCATTTGTTTCAATTCAGCAGTGACACCGCGTGCAGCAAAAAGACAATATTGTCATACTCTCCCTTAAACACCTACTGTTGTTAGTAAACTTTGTTGAAATATCTTTCAGTGGAAATTAATTTCAAAAACTAGAGTATTTACTTAAAGTAGGTATGTATGGTATGCATCGTAGATGGGACGGACAATATCTTACTTACGGTAGGTAAATAGTATATTACAGCCTTAGAATTATATTCAAAGATTATAGTGCCTACTAGTATTAAAAAGTATCACTTAGTGATATGAGACAAATATTTTAATATCCAGAAATAACATAGAATATTAAAATAACAATTAAATATGCTAGCTACCACTACCATACGACAAAATTAGACTATTGGTAATGTCAGCTTAAGAATATATTATATAATGCGGTCTACTGTTTTATATCAATGTCGCAATTCCATTGTTTTTAGTAAGGAGATCTGGGTAGTATATTTAATGTATAATTTGGTTAACAATAAATACAAGGACTTAATGTAAATACAAATGCGCCTACCATTAAGAGGAAAATGACACAAACAAAAAATTATCATTAGTGATTATCGTATGTTGAACATATCCATTACCTATTTAATTCACAAATATAAATTCATATTATATTCAAAATCTATAACCCCATAAGGAAAACAAGAGTTATTATGCACCTTATTTGAATTTATATAAACAATCCACACCAATTTTAAAGCAATAATTACAATAATGATAAATAAACTTCCAAATAACATAAACATGACAACATTTTATAAGTGACACAAATCACTTCCAACCTAATGGTGCTTTAAATAAATATAATTGAGTAGTTTATGACTTTTTACACGATGTAAAAAATATGCAATCAAAACAAGGATGTACTCGTATATTTAAAAATATAAAACCTAGTTGTTGTCCACCAAAACTATTCTTGATAGGTTTGCCGCAAGATTGAGGTAACCGATAGAATAGTCTCGTTCTAAATCTATCCAGTTTCAAATTCGTATATTCCGATCTCAAACCAAGAAAGAAAGAAAGAAAAAGTGCTGCGTACATTTCAAGTGCCGTAAAAACTAAGACTAAACTATGCTCAATTTAGTGTTCGAACATGTACTCGTATACGAGAGACGTTAGGTGCATATCTCGTATATCAAAATCATTTGCAACTTGCAACCAACAACATGGTTTTAGGTGCATATGTGTGCGTCTAGCAACTTTTACGGGTCGATAAAGAAAGAAAGAAAAAAAATGTGTGCGTGAGTGTGTGTTCCTACAATAAGTTGAACATGTTTCTGGCTTGATTCTTACGTCATTTGAAATGTGCGTCTTTCTTCCTTTGTTGGTCTGAGTTTACATACAAGGTTGAGGTTACATACATATTTGAACTTGTTTATAGAATACAAGGATGTAACTAAAAGACACTACGTATTTTAAAATTAGGTAACAAATACTTTAAATACTTAGGTTACAGGAATATTATACGTTACTAATTTTACTAGGCATTTCATGAATCTCGGTTTAAAATTGTCTTTATAACTATTATAACCTGGCAACACTTGAAATCGAACGTCATATCTTGGCCACGTCACCAGTAAAATACAGATAGCACAGTCTTGTACCACGGCATTGGTGGTTCAGGTAGGTAATACTCCGAATTTGGTTTAGGTTCGGTATCGTCGATAGGATCCTCAACAAATATATTGACTAGAGATGACTTGATACCGAACCTGAAGAATGCTAAATAGGGGAAATATTTCATGAGCAATAAACTGAAAATGTAATTTAAATTTAAGTACAGTTTGCCTATATATGTTGAATAAAACGCCATTAAAAAGTTGTTAGCGGCTAGTTTGTATTTTGCCGCAAATGACAGTTTTTTATATTCAGGGATGGACTCTATAGTGTCGTAGTCACGTAAATATAGAATACGCGGTGGCCGCGACGGTAGCCCTTCCAATGCTGGTTTTAATGTTAGAGTTGATGAATCCACACCTGAAAAATAAATTGTAATTCGTAACTTATATTGATTAAGCTTAGGAATTAGCAGAATTAAGTCGCTGGTGATAGGACGGCCGGTTCCTTCTCGCGCTCAAAGACTAATTGTAGCCATTGAAAGAAACAGCGAGCGCTGTTATGACTATGACGCGGGGAGTAGAACTGTATGATAATTTAAGTTTTCAGTTTAAGCTATTGAAGTGAAACTTCTTTATTATCGCTGTGATTTGAAAACGCGATTAAAAGAAAAAGTGACACTAAAAAGAGACAAACATATACATCTATATGATTTAGCCTGCGAGAGAATAAGATAGTATCTATACTAATATAATAAAGCAGAAGATTTTACACGCTAAGCGATTTAAATACAATATTCTACAAAAATATAGATCTTTCCTCCATCTAAAGACAGTCTGCGATACTATAGACCTATTTCTTACACATAAGCCACAGTAAGATAGTTTGTGACAAAAAAATATTGAAAATTAAAAAGTGATGTACGAGCGTTATTATTAGGCATGGCAATAAAGGTATGACTTGACTATGTTTCATTAAATCAGGGAACACGCCAGATTGGACGCTGTATTTTTTTTTATAGAAGAGGGGGCAAACGAGCATGCGGCTCACCTGATGGTAAGTGACTACCGCCGCCCATGAACAACCGCAACACCAGGGGAATTGCAGATGCGTTGCCGGCCTTTTAGAAAGGTGTAAGCTCTTTTCTTGAAGGTTCCTAAGTCGTATCGGTCCGGAAAATTCGCTGGTGGTAATTGATTCCACAAGGAAGTTGTGCGAGGGAGAAAACTTCTTCTAAATCGCACAGTGGTGGACCGCCAATCATCCAGATGGTATGGATGGTAACGCGAGTTTTGTAGCGATGTGCGATGGTGAAATTGAGCGGCTGGAATTAGACCGAACAATTCCTCAGAGCACTCCCCGTGATAGATGCGATAAAATAAGCAAAGAGATGCAACATCTCTATAAAGCCGATCAGAAAGAACTCGGTCGTCGACGATTCGAACCGCTCTGCGCTGAATGCGGTCAAGTGGAAGGCGCTGACACTAGGGTGCCCCGGCCCAGAGATGAGAATAGTATTCCATGTGGGGCCGAACTTGCGGCCTGTAAAGTTGCAGGCGGTGTACCGGCATGAAATAATGTCCCGCTTTGCTGAGCACGCCCAGCTTTTTAGAGGCCAATTTGGCCTTCTCTTCCAAGAAACCACGAAACTGCACGTCACTCGGTATGTCGACGTCGAGGATTCTGATAGTGGCTGAGGCAAGAAGGGTGCCTTGAAACTGAGGAGATACGACAAAAGGGTTCTTTTTAGCGGTAAACGCGCAAACTTGTGTTTTCTGAGGATTAAACTGGACTAGATTTAGTCGCCCCCAATCCGAGACTTTGTTCAGCAAAGACTCGACTTCAGACACAAGTTTGTTCCGGTACTCGGAGAAGTTTTTCCGAGGAATATTGACATGGCCGGTGTATAGAGCATCACTAGTGCTTTCATCCGCATAGCAATGAATGTTACCGGTTTGCAACATATCATTGATATGCAGAAGAAACAGCGTTGGTGATAGCACGCAGCCTTGTGGAACACTAGCGTTAATAGGCTTGTAATCGGAGCATGCACCGTCTACTACGACCTTGATGCTCCGATCAGCAAGGAAACTGGTGATCCATTTGCACAATTCCTCGGGAAGCCTATAGGAAGGAAGCTTCGAAAGAAGCGCTTTGTTCCAGACCCGATCGAAGGCCTTCGCTATGTCCAAACTAACGGCCAATGCCTCACCCTTGGACTCTACTGTCTCCGCCCATCTATGAGTCAGATAGACTAGAAGATCACCAGCTGATCGACCCCGACGAAAACTGTACTGGCGGTCACTAATCAGCTGGTGATCCTCAAGGTACCTCATGAGCTGGCAGTTTATAATGGATTCCATTATTTTGGAGAACAAGGAGGTGATGGCGATAGGCCTGTAGTTGGACGGGTCTGAGCGGTCGCCTTTTTTAGGGATCGGGTGGACCAAAGCTATCTTCCATGAATTCGGGACTACGCCTTGGGAGTAGGAGTACCGGAAAAGACGCGTTAAAACCGGGGCCAACTCCGGAGCACACGTCTTCAGCACATCGGGCCCACTCAACTTGCTGACGTCCAGGAAGAAGAGTGCTTTGCGAACCGAGCGCTGTGTAAACCGCACATCCGGCATGGAGCACTCACGTCACGGGATGGTCGGCGGTGTGTTCCCCCCGCCATCTAGAGTCGAGTTGGACGCAAAGAGAGAGCTCAACAGATCGGCTTTATCTTTGCGGCATGGGCCAGTCAGTCGTCCTCTCTGTGCAGAGATGGAAGAGATGGCTGACAGAAGTTTCCTTGGACAGCCTTGGCGAGAGACCAGAATGCACGGGTTCCCGAAGGAAGGCGAACTAGCTTCTCGCCAATTCTGCCGATGTGCTCAGACCTTGCCTTGGCAATGACGTTTTTGAAGGACCTGGAGGCGGAATTATACTTCTTTTTAAGTGCGCTGGTATTTACATCCCGAGACGTTGATGCGTCAGCCCAGGCCCGGTAGCACTTCTAGCGTGATGCTATTTTACAGGAGCGACCAAACCATGGCTGAGATCTGCCTCCGATGGGAACCACAGAGGATGGAATAAAAAGTTCCATACCCTGAAGCACCACAGCTCCGACGGCTCCGTGGCGCAGTGGCTTAGCAATCAGTTGTTGCGCTGGGGGCCGCGGGTTCGAATCCCGCACGGAACAAGTATTTGTATGTCCTACAAATAATTGTTCCGGGTCTGGATGTTTGTCCTTGTGCAATTTATGTTTGTAAACTGCCTCCACGACACAGGAGAAAATCCTAGTGGGGGTAACGTTTTTTAAAAAAAAGAACTAAAAAAAAAGAACATCAGCAACAGAATCGGCAACAACGCTGGGATCTTCCGGCAAGAAGCAAACCCGCCCGCAAGGGTAGGACGCAAAAAAAGACCGCATCCCATCCCAATCGGCTGACCTATAGTGCCAAATACGGCGGCAAGCTGCAGATCGCAAATGCGATTGGAGCGTGAGTGGCACCGTACTCCGGATCAGACAATGGTCCGAAGAGCCCAGAGGGGCATCGACGGACACCTGATATCCTTCCGGATGAGAGGTCAGCAGAAGGTCCAACAGGGAAGGTACATGGTCTTCCACATCTGGGATCCGCGTAGGCGAAGTAACCAGTTGTGTAAGACCATATGCTAAAGCAAAGTCATAGACAGATTTACCCGCATGATCGGTTAAACGAGAACCAAGCCATTCAGCGTGGTGGGCGTTAAAATCACCGAGTATCACGATCTCTGCGGATGGGACCTGTTGTAGCACGGAGTCTGCAGCCACACGCAACGCAGAGGTAAACCTCTACTTCACGCTGGTATTCTGTGAGGTCGTGGTACCACCCCGGTTCGAGCCGGCCCATCCGTGCGACAGCAAAAGCTGCCGCTTGGCTCTACCACTGTCAAAAAACCTCAATCCCAACTAACGACATCTGGTGTGCGGAAGATTGTTAGCCCTCATTAAGGACCCCTCAATTCGACGGGCGGAGGTCCATGTACAGAAGTGAACTTTCAGTTTTTGAAGTGAAACTTTTTAAGGGAGGGCCTTGAAATTCTGATCCGCAACCTTTTTGTGTGACGAAAAGTGGTGGGGGTAAACATTATTATAACATTAGTATATTTAAACGAAAGATTACAACGGTCTTTCGTTCTAATATACTAATCTTATAATAATTTCATTTAAGACAGTTACCACGGTACACGTATTTTTTTAGAAAGAGTGATCGCATTTGTGTAATAGCGCCATCTACTACATTCTATAGGTATCATTAGTCATCGTCAAAGTCATAGAGATAGTCATAGTCGTTGTCATAGCGATAGTCATAGCCATAGTCACAGTGGCTATGTTTATCACTATTACTATGACGGTGACTATCACTATGACTATAGCTATGACTATCGCTATGACAACTATTATTATTATCTGGGGTATTATTACAGCCATTTACAAGGCCACTGCTGAACTTAGGCCTCCTTTGAAGGAGGAAATGCCTCAAATTTTTTATATTTCTATGGCCTCAAAGAACAGCCCTGAGCCACCTGCATCCATCGTCTTCCTGTAATATGTTTGCCAGTAAATAACATATAAAAGTGAGTAGTGACTTACCTATATCATCAGATTTGCCTTTCAACTGATCGCGCAGCTTCCTCTGAAACTCCACCCTTTCGGCTTCTGTGTAGATATAGCCCGGTACGTCAGCCAAATATCTGGCCCAGTAGAGAAAGGCGGTGGTATTGACCGTTGGGTTCACTGACCACATGCCGTCCAGCATCACTCGAGCCATGTGCTCGAAATATTCTGGGACGTTATCTAAACAAGGCGTGAATACGCGATCGAGTAGTATCTTGCAAACTTGACGCGTTTCGTCGACGCTCTTTCGACATATGTTATATCTGTAAAATTGTTTATGGTCACATTAATTTATCAATAGCGTTGTTTGTCGTGCCGTGGTAGCGTTAGAGATTCCATTTTCACATTACCCTCGAACATCGCCAACACGTCGATGTTGTAGTAAGCGACTATGCAAAATGCCTTTCGTGTTTCGTGATATTACAATATTTATTTACAAAAATTTATACCTTTGTAAATAAATATTGCAGTAATAAATGAGTAAAAACTTTAACTAACACTATAACTAACACACAGGAGAAAATCCTAGTGTGGGGGTAACATTTTTTTATGATAGATAAAGACAGATGAACTTCGTAAGAATTAAATCTTTAACAATGAAAGTATTTACCTGTCATTCATATAATTTACCCGTTTTTTCTTTACAATTAGTTAAAAACCGACATGAAAACAACAAAATAAAAAACTTAGACAAAAAGAAATCTCATAAATCTTTTTTCGCTGTATTTTGTCTCTACACTATGATTTAATTATCACATAAACATAGATAAGTTTTTCCAATAATGACACGTTTTATCGTCTTTTCGTATACTTGTAAAATACTTTTTTTCTTCTTTTGAAGATCTCTATCTTCTAAGAGATAAGGTTTTTAAAAGATAAAAAAGAGTAATCTAAAGTCTCTGGGTACAATTTTTCATTAATGTTTCCGTACTTCACAATCATACCATCTCTTTTTAATTTAAGTAGGAATAGGGATGTTGTTTGCCCAAGATCCTGTTCCTGGATGCGGCAGGAGCTCTTGGGTGATGTATATAATAAATTGATGTAGTCGAATTCCCAAAATTAAAATCTTGACTTTAATCGCATATAATTCAAGAACTAAAGGATGAAAACAAGATTTCTATATTGAAAGATAAATTACAAATGTATATAAAAGGTGAACTACTGTGTTAATTTAAACCATGCTATCATGTGTTGAAGAAGTCTAGAAACGTTATTTTAATTCGTATTTTTTGATTGGGCCGGGCTATTTGTCATTGTTACGTTTCGATTTACGTTATAACGCAACAGATGTTGAACTTATTATAGCTAAATGAAAAATCTATCTCTGAATATTGACATTTTTGAATCTTCAATCTGAACTTACTACACAACACAAACACTCACGCCTGTCACCCAGAGGGGTAGGCAGAGACTACGGACTTCCATTTGGCGTGATCCTGACACACCTCTCTCGCCTCCTTTACATCGATATATCTACGCATACACGCTCGTCGGTTAAGGGTGGAGGAGAACTTATTACTGAAAAAGAATTAATATCGGCCCAATATACTTTAAAAAACTCATAAAATATGGAGTTTCTAAAATAGTACCTACCAAAACAACGTCCACTTTAAAGTACAGACGTGTATTTCATCCATTCAAATTTGAAAAAAATCATCAAAATATTATCCGAATGAATGAAATAATTGCAGAAGATCGGTAAAAAGCCAGGTTTAATACAATTTAACTTATCTTTCCCGTTGAGCGTGCATCATGCTAAATAATAATATTTAATAATATCATTAATTAACCAATAATTGGAATTAAAATTTAGGTATAATGTAAAAAAATAATTTTGTAATGAATCAGTGTTGTCTGTATCAAATAAATTATTATTATTATTATTATTATTGGGGTTTATCTATAAAGTTTTCTCATCTGGTTGGGCTGTTTAAATATATAATTGTAAACGAAATATATAAACATACATACAACTCTGTGTAAAAAGTATCGGAAATATGTCAATAAAAAGACCCGCGTAAAAGAGGTCGTTCTAATTTTTTTACTGCATGTTGGTAGCACTGTACTGATTTAGCGCGCAAAGTTTGAGCGGGATCTGTCATTTAATTTGTTTTAAACTACACTTTTTGTTGGTCATAGTTTTGAGTTCTCGGCGATTTTTACAATGGAAAATATTGTTGAACAAAGAGTGTGCCTTAAATTTTGTGTTTCGAATGATATTTCATGTGGTGAATCACTAAAAATGTTGCGAAATACCTACGGCGAATCGTGTATATCGAAAACAAGGGCTTATGAATGGTATAAGGCTTTTAAAGAAGGCCGAGAAGTAGTAGTAGACTTGCCTCGTTTTGGTAGACCTTTAACCGCTACGACCAAAGAAAACATCGACAAAATCAAGAAGCTAGTGCTCGAAAATCGACGTATGAGTCTGAGAGAGTTGGCTAGTGAGGTGAACATATCTTTTAAGTCCGTCCATAACATTCTCATTGACATTTTAGGCATGAAACGCGTCGCCGCTCGATTAGTTCCAAAAGAGCTCAATTTTGTTCAAAGAGCGCAGCGAAAGCATGTCGCTGAAGACATGGTTTCCCGAGCTTCTACGGATCCGACCTTTAAGAAACGTATAATAACTGGCGACGAGACATGGGTTTATGAGTACGACATGCAAACAAGCCAACAGTCTTCAGAATGGCGTCTCGAAAACGAGCCGAAACCCAAAAAACCGCGGCAAAGTCGCTCCAAAATCAAGGTGATGCTGACAGTTTTTTTTGACTACCGTGGTGTGGTTAACTCCGAATTCCTTGCAAAGGGAGAAACAGTGAATAAAGAATATTATTTAGGCGTCATGAAGCGTTTGCGTGAGAGTATCCGCCGAAAACGTCCAGATTTGTGGCAACACAACTCATGGATGCTGCACCATGATAATGCACCATCACACACAGCCATTATAGTGAAAGAGTTTTTAGCGAAAAATTCAACAAAAGTTCTCGACCAAGCACCGTATTCACCTGATATGGCTCCGTCTGACTTTTTTTTATTTCCCAAGTTAAAATTACCACTTCGAGGAAAACGTTTTGAGTCGATAGAAGCCATAAAAAAAATTCGCTGAATGAGCTAAAGGCCATACCGCAAATAGCCTATGAAAAATATATGGAAGACTGGGTGAAGCGTTGGAGATGTTGTATTACAAGCGATGGGGCCTTCTTTGAAGGCGATAAAATAATTTTAGATGAATAATTTGTATTTTTTGTTTTATTGACAAATTCCCGATATTTAGTACACAGAATGTAAATATCAATAAAATAGAATAAATACATAAAAAAAACATAAATATATAAAAAACCCAACCAGATGGAAGCCCTCGACAAGGGAGACCAAACGGCCGATGGTTAGGGGGAAAGGGAAAGAAACCGGCGGACGATGCGGGCGGTATCGAGGAGCACCGCCTTCTGCATTTGAGCTTGGAGCGGTCCGTCACGGAGACCCAGTCGCCTTAGATGACCCGAGAGGCTAACTGGGATTAACCCGTTCGCAGAAACGACCACAGGAATAATTTCGGCCGGCAGACCACCCCACATGTCGGTCACCTCGTGAGCCAGGTCCAGATATTTCGTCAGCTTATCTGTTTCGGCTTTCACGAGGTTCTCGTCATAAGGAATGGTAATGTCGACCAAAAATATCCTTGACTGTGCCCGGTCCATCAGCACAATATCAGGCTTATTCGCAAGAATAGTCCTGTATGTGATGATGGCCCGGTCCCAGTAGAGCTTGGCGCGGTCATTTTCGAGCACAGCTTCCGGCAAAATGCTTATAATATGGCAGTTTCCGATCCATGAGACCGTATTTCAGAGCGAGCTCCTGGTGTAGAATCCTGGCTACTAGGTTGTGTCTGTGCAAATACTTAGAGTTAGAAAGCGCCGAACAACCGGAGATGACATGCCTAAGTGACTCACCGGGATGGCGACAAGCTCGACAGATGTCGACGGTGCCATCCTTTAGGATGTATCTCCGATAATTGTTGGTCTTAATAACCTGATCCTGTATTGCACAGACAAAACCCTCAGTTTCCCCAAAGAGGTCACTGAAATGTAGCCAATGGAGGGAGGCGACTGTGTCTACGAAAGGCTCATGAAAGGCCTTGTAGAACCTCCCGTGGAGCTCCTTCTCCTTCCATACGGTCTCCCGATCGGAAATGCTCTGTACTGCCGGGTCTTGCCATTGCTCGTTGGCTAAGGATAGAGGGGTTAGCCCTTTATCACAAGAAATAACGTCCCTATAGTATGGATCATCCACTCTCGTCAGAAAGTAATTACTTATTTATTTTATTTTTATTATTATTATCAATAAACTTACTAACTAAACGGAATAATTTTTTTGGTTAAATACAATTTTCCAATCATAAAGCAGAAACACGCGTAAGCGTAGCGCACTTATTTTAAATTTTATTACACACTAGCTGTCCCCCGCGACTTCGCCCGCGTGGAATTTAATACGATTTCATGGGTTTTAATTTTTTTAGAGAGGTATCGTAATTGTTTTTCTAAAATGAAACTATCCTAAGTCCTGTCAAAATAGGTCCAGCTGTTGCAGAGATTATCCGGAACAAACAGGTCTGTCAGGCATTTGGTAAAAAGCTGTTGTTTTAACATTACGAGTACAAGCAGACACTTCAATTTTATTTATTTGTATAGATTAATTTCATGTCCTTTAAGATTCACATTGGGACGGAAATCGAGATATAATGTTTTAGTACCTGGATTGGAATCGATATGGTACCAATGTCATTTTTAAAGGATTTTGGGCCGCAGGATAAAACATTCAATACAAAACATAAAGATTTGTAAAACATCGTTGAATTTTTTGGATATTATATCATCATACCTATCCATATACCGGTGATGGGAATCATTTCACAGGAAGAAGGCGCGCCTTGCCTTTTGGTACGCCCATGCAAAAGTAAGGGTTACCATAGTCATATATAAAAAAAAAAATCGGTGTATATATTTAAAGTAAATGTACCTAATATTCTTGGTAACTTGTTAAACTTAAAATTACCTGTCCTCTAACCCTATCATGTGACCGATGACTCTCCAGAAGTGATTATACGCTTCCCAGTCGCCCTCTTGCATTTGCCTGACACCGAATTTATCAGACTTGAGTAGTGAGAAGCCGATGAAACCGAACTGTGTCAACGCTACGTCCCTTTGTGACACAATGCCAATGCCCTTCATTTTGGCAGCGAGGCCCGCACGCACGTGACGAATACGAACCGCGTGTAAGGATCGCCACGATCTGTAGAAAATAATTGAATATTATTACGCTTTATTACTTTTGTGTATGAGTAATATACATTAAAAAATACTGCCTCATATTAACAAAAATACAAGTACAACGAGTATTTGCTAAGTACAAAGTCCACCTGGTAATAAGTAAATTTGATGTAGCTGACATCTTCTCTTAGCCGTGTAGTGGCGGTCAAGAATATCCACTACCCCATATCCTCCCGTGGGTGTCGTAAAAGGCGACAAAGGGAAACAGGCAGGAGATGGGCAGCAGCATCTTCCTGATAATAGCCAAATTACAATAAAAAAACTGCGGTTGCCAACCCGCTCGCCAAGCGTGGCAACTATGGCAAATACCCCCCTATGAATGACAGTAACAAAGAAACGGCCCCCAGTCCCCAGTGGCCCCGCTATTCCTGGCTACGGTGGCGACCATGGTAACGGCGGGGCAGGGGGTGCTAAGAATCTCCGGTGGAGGTTCGGTTGCCACCATAGACGACTCGACCTGGCAACGTACAACGCACGCACCCTGAGGACTGACGAGAAGATTGTGGAGCTTTACGACACATCTTCTCGTCAGACATACCTCAAAACCTTAAAACGAAATTGTACAACCAGTGCGTGTTGCCAGTGATGACTTACGGAACTGAGACGTGGTCCTTCACTGCTGGCCGTATGAGGAAGCTCAAGGTCGCTCAGCGAGCTATGGAGAGGGCTATGCTCGGAGTTTCTCTGCGTGATAAACTTAGGAATGAGGATATCCGCAGTAGAACCAGAGTGACCGACATAGCCCAACGGATTATTAAGCTGAAGTGGCAGTGGCGCGGCCATATAGCTCGAAGAACCGACAACCGATGGGGAAGAAAGGTTCTCGAGTGGCAGCCTCGTACCGTTAGGCGAAGTGTAGGGCGTCCCCCCACGAGATGGAGTGACGACCTGGTAAGACATGCAGGAAGTCGATGGATGCAGGTGGCTCAGGACCGTGCTCTGTGGCATTCTTTGGGGGAGGCCTATGTTCAGCAGTGGACTTGTGAAGGGCTGTAATGATGATGATGATGATGATGATGACATCTTCTCGATTAAGAATCGAAAATCCAGATACCGCGTTTATTTTCTACGACCGAATTTCTTCTTAAGTTAATTCCATTGCACACAATCCCTTTTCAAGATTAGCGAAATTGCCTCTAGATTCAATCAGATTGCACTTTCGGCTTCTTACTAATATTATAAAATGCAAGTGTGGCCATGCTATAGTCTGTACGTGTATGTGTTACCTTCTCACATTTAAGCCACTGAACCATTCTTGTTAATCCTTGGTAAGGAGACAACTTACAAACTGCAGATGGACATGTGCTATAGCATTTTTTATTAATTTTTAATTCCACTTTTGCAACACACAAAAACACGATTGCAGCTTGTCTTTTTAAATTGAAAGTTGTTTGATGGTCATTGTTCGCCTTGTACTTCTTCTCCAGCCCGTAAAAGCCCATTGTTGGACACGTGTATCCCTTTTGAGGGAGAATTTGCTTGGCAGGCAGGTTGACATTACGTGGTAGAGCTGTGCTATATTCTGGTTGCAGCACGAATGGGTCGGCTCGGATGGCAGCTTAATGCTGCAGTGTTTTGTATGGTGAGTGTAGAGAACCGGAGACCCTTTTTAATGGACACGAGACATTCCATCTTAGTCTTCAGGGGTGACAACGAATCTGCATTTTATGGGCCACAACATCCACTTAACATCTGGTGGAATGTGTGCTTGTTTGTGACCCTTATTCTATCGTATAAAAAAGGTAGATTGACAATCGCATTGTCAGACACTGCGCACCTTTGAACTTTGACGCTTCTTTCCGTTGTCGGTCTGGGTATTTTACGCCTGGCGTTGAAGAGATGGTATGATACTTTATTTTTATTTGTTATTAGGAAGACGCTGTTGCCCGTCGATAATATATAATAGTGGATATTCTTACACCGCTGTTACACGGTTTGTTCGCCTAGCGAGGCAGGGAGACTCAGCTGGCCCCCTCCCCCCCACCCCACTAGAGACTTATTTATTGTACAGTCAAGTCAATTTCAGACATAATATTTGAGCGTCCGCTAATTATGCTAAACTGGATTAGCATTAGCAAGGTCAGCAAGGTGATTAACAACACGTATAAAAAGTGTTTCTCATATGAATAATCAAGCTTGTGACGAATTTAAAATCCTATAAAAAATTGCGCGTGTAATTATGTGTGCACACATACGAATTAAAACTTCTTTACGACATATCATTCTTATTTTATTTTATATTTTACATCCGTTACAGCCTATTAAAGTCCACTGCTGAACATAGGCCTCCCCCACAGATTGCCTCATATCGGTGGGGAAATTTGCTACAATTGCCACACTTGGCAAGCTGGTTGGCAATCGCAGTTTTTTATTTTTAGTTGTTATTAGGAAGACGCTGCCCATCTCATGACTTATTTCTCTCCGTCGTCTCTTAGGGCCTACTGGATGATAGTGGGTAGTGGATATTCTTACACCGCCGCTAAACGGTTTGCCAGAAAAATTATCTCTTCCAAATCTGAACGTATGTAATTATAATGTCAAGTGTTCGGTGGTGAAGACGCCATCGTACAGACATTTCAGACATATTTAAGCGTCCGCTAATATACACTGGAGCAGCAAGGTTAGCAAGGTGATTAACAACATAGTGGAAAGTTTACGTCTATAAAATGTAACATAAATGCTTAAAATCAATATTCAAATTAATCGTCTCATTTTTATTGATAATTAAGGCAAATGTTTTCCTAATAGATAATATTAAAATCTTTAACTTTGCAATTTGGCGTCTGGGAACTAGTATAGTTCTTGCTCACAAAAATTGAATCAATGTTTTTGTTGTTTTATATAACCTTTACAGTGATATTTCAAATTAAATATAAAACCAGTCTTATTTTTACCTGCGAATGAGCCCAAAAAGGGGTAATATTTTGGCTGTTATGTATGTGTAGTTCTTTTTTATGTCCGCTCAAAACTTCGGATCATACCGTTCGGATTTTGACAAATGACATCTTAATCCATTTGCGAGAGTAGCAGGTAGAATATAACGTCAGCAGAAAATTAATATAACGGGTTTAGTGACTGGCCAGGTACCGATGCTAATGCTGCAGCGAACGCAGTAACTGGACCATTTGGTGGATTTGGTGGTTGGTCTGGTGATGATGCTAATGCTGCAGCTAATGCCGCAACTGGAGGTTATGGAGGCATTAGTGGATGGTCAGGCGGGGAATCGCATGCCCAATCACAAGCTCAAACTACTAATTTAGGTGGTTACTGAGGTGAATCCCAAGCTTAGCCTATGCTCAAGCACACGCTCAAAGTTAGTTTGGAGGATAGCCAGGTTATGGCGGATCTCAATCACAACCACAAGCAGTAGGTTATAAAAGCGGTGAAGAAAGTAGAAAGAAAAGAGATCTTGGGCTTTTTAGATATATGGCCTCACAAGTTGGCTTTAAAACAACTCAACCAATATCAGCTAATAAACGAGTTGAATGTAAATTCAAGAAAAACAACTTCCTTCTGCGTGAATCCCATATTTCTGGTGCCCTTTGACCTACAGGACCAAAATTCAAACTCGACCGAGCTACTACCTCAAGGTATCCACATACCAAATTTAAAGTCAATCGGTCCAGTGGAACGGAAGTTATCGTGTCGACATACAGACTAACAGACTGCCAGCTAAAACCATTAACTTCCTTTCAATGCTACGCAGAAGGAATTTAATAATCCACTTAGGTAACAATATTATGATTATTCATGCCTCATAGAATTTTAAGTAAGTTATTAAAATATGCATATTTTGTTGCAGACAACAACCTCCTCTACCTAATCTCTCAACAAGACAATGGCGAAATTTTTGGACTTGATACTCTATCACTGATACATGATTTAGTTAGGGTAAAGCATATAATTCTGACAAATGTAGACGCATCATATTTATTAAAATAAAATAAATTTAGTAGGATATAAGATATATGAATATTTATTTACAATTCCTACAATATATTGAACTATACCGTTAAAATAGGCGTTTACACTTTCTTAAACAATTCTAAGCCAATGTTTGACACGTATCCAACCTGATTGTAAGCGGTAATGCAGCCAAAGATAATAGCAATAAACAAGCTGACTTAGATTAAAATAGGGTCGTGACTACTGCCGTGAAAACACCCACATAATTATCGGATATAGAGACTGATGCTGGCAACTTAGTTCACTTCACTTATAATTATGCTGTAGACACGATGAATGAAAAAGCTAACCACTTGCTTCAAATGCGCGGTAAGTCAACATCGAAGGGGTTAAGACTAACCGATCGTCTGATTGTCCTATAATGCAAGACAAAAAATATAATGTCAGTCATGCAGAAAGAATGAACGAGGAAAGAGTGACAAAGCGAATTTATGTTGTAGAAGTAAACGGCAGAGTCGGCATGGGAAGCCCTTGGCGGAAGTTCATCAACCAAATTGGCGATTTCTTGAAGATGGGCCAAATTGAGAGTACCGTTAATCAGACCTTTGCAACCAAAAATAATAATAAGCGAAAGTATCGTGTATTGTTTATCACGAAAGGAATTAATGAGAACATTTCTGAGAACACTTTTCGGATACTTTGTCCCTTAATAATAATTTATTTGCAGCTATACTATACCGTATAGTGGCGGCGCGGCGTAAGACCTATTTACCTATTTCGTATCATCCCGTGGGCGTGGATGTAATTTTTTTTTTGGATATTATTTGGATGAATGAATATTAATTTATTTGATGCTGCATCTATGCTGAGTAATTACGCTGTAAGAAAGTCAACTACCCAAAATTAATTTGGGGTTAATATTGTTTTAACTGTTGCTACACTAGGCTTTATTTTTATTTATTTATTATTTAAAAACTTAAATGACACCTTAAAGTATAGGGTAAATAGGGCGGACTTAATGCCATGTGGCATTCTCTGCCAGTCAACCCTGGGTGCCAAAGACAATTGTTGGCAGGTGAGAAACATAATACATAAATAAAGTGTATATATATAATGTGTATACATTAAATATTTGAAAAAAAAGGAAAATATTGAGTTGGTAATAAGAAGGAAGTATTTGTATACCACTCACATACTGCCAGGCTTAAGTTCATTCTCGAACCAAGATATAGTGTGTAGTAGCGTTGATAGGTATCTCTTGTAGGCTGTGTACACTGAGCTGGAACGCCTCGAGCTCACAAGCACCCGTAGTATCGAAGGCACTGCGAACACCCCTATCAAGCCCAGCATCATTGAAGATGCCAACCCAAAACTATTGTCCCAGAAGAAGCGACGTGCTCTGTAAAAAGAACATACAAAGATATCTTTGTAAATACAAAAATATTACCCGTATAATTATAAAAAATGTACCTGTAGCTTTTTCCCGCGCTTATTCTTGCGTGGATTTCTTGTGGGTTTAGCAACAAAGATGTTAAATCGGAATACACATGGAATTATCTCAATGTATGACACATAATGCAGAAAATATTAGAAAAATACCATTTTGTTTCTCTTACCACCAGTTCTAGAGTACAGAATGTGCATGAAAAACATTTAGTTGCTTAGTCTGCCACCAGTGGTCGTTAAATACCTAATAAAGAATATCCTGCTGCTAGCGGTGGCACAAGTTATTAGCTACACTATAAATAATAAAGAATATCCTGTCGCCAGAGCCGCGTATAGATTATGCGCTCCAAGAGGTCGAACATTGGCGCGCGTTCCAGCCGCGCGAAATAGATACCGCCTTCGAACGCGCGCCAAATTGTTCGTTGGAACGCTCAAACGTGGAGCGGGCCGTTCCACGCGTTGTCGGTTTTTTACCGCGAATAAAAGTAGTTAAGTTTTAGCGCGGGCCATTTGGGACGGTTGTTTTTATCATTCGTGTGTTTGTTGCGTTCCCAGCTATGGATAACCAGAGTTGCCGTAAATTGATAAAATTATATGGTTCAAAATAACTACTGTGGAATAGCAAAAGTAGTTTTTATCATAATAAAGCGCTTAGAGAAGATGCATGGAACTATGAAAGCGGCAGCTGTTCGTACACGACCGACATTCATCTTGAACGGTCAAATAGTTGCTACACTTCGAACGTTTGGAACGCGCGCGGAACGCACTGGTCGGTGCGGTCATTCGTGGCGCGCGCGTCAGAAGCACGTAATTGATACGCGGCTTATTACTGGCACAAGTTATTAGCTATACTATTAGTAGGTTTTTATATTTTTTTTATATTTTTATTTTTTTGGATATTCTTTGTATATATACAAATAATATCCTGCCACTAGCGGTGCCGTAAGTTATTAGCTACACTATAAATAATAAAGAATATCCTGCCGCTAGCGGTGGCAGAAGTTAGTAGCTCCACATTAAATGGAAAAGTTGTTAGCTTATTAGCTACACCAGCGCGCAGTCCGGATATTCCTTTTTAATTAACGACCACTGGTGGCAGACTTTTGTATAATAATATAAGAGTTAGCGGTTTTGGGTGGCCTCAAGGGATAGGTACCTCAGCCGCACCTTAACATACTGATAACTAGTTACTCCTAGTTTTAGCAGTTTAAAGATGTGAACTCTAAATAATTCACGCTCATATTAAGTTACAATGTATTCATAGACAGACAGACCAGAAGACAAAAAAACTTAAGACTTAAGACTAGTTATACCAGGAAATTTAAATAAAATTAATCTAAAAATCAAAGCATATAAAGTAGGTGCAGTCTGAGCTCAAGTAAACTTGTTTAACCTTGTACGTTGTCATGGCCAATCATGATTTACTAAAAATATTGCGTCGATAAGCAGCATTGAACCTATTTATTATTCTTTGCATGACTACATAAATCTAGAAATAGACATATACATACAGGGTGTCCCAGAACTCAACGTCAAGCCGAAACGGGGTGACAGGATTAATTATAAACATTATGAGAAAAATCAGAAAAAAAAAATCTATCCCATGCAGTTTGGAAATTATGGGCGTTTAAGAAAAACCTAGAAATTTGGTCAAACTGTAACTGTAACATTTTTCGGTTATTGTAGTTAATTTTTATTATTTTTGTTCATTTAAACTTTGGAACCGTAACCCTAAATAACATTTCTAGAACCACAGTCAAAAATAATGACACAACTGCCCCAAGTTTTCTAGAATTAAGACTATTTGTTAAACTATGTATCTAAAATTTTCAAAATTTGCCAACTTTGAAAGTACCTCCTTTAAAAAAAATGTACTAGTGCCTTGGCAAGTGCCATTAAAAGTTCGCGCATTTAATCAGGATTGTAAAATGGTACAATACTTGTTAGTTTCATACTAAAAAAAAAACTAGTAAAAAAATAAAAACCTCGAGTAACCCCATTTTTGCTAACCCATTTTACTCAGTTCAAATGTTTTTTATTCAAATGTTTCTTATTGATGTCAGAGATGGATAGTGGACATGTTTGCCATGAACAACCGAGACAAATAGTGACGCCACTTTTACCAAAGTCAACAAAAGTATGTAAAATAAATAAAATAATGAAAACTCTTGACCTAGTTTAGTTTAGGTTTATTGGAATAAAAGTCAGATAGGGAAATAACATTTTTTATTACAATAAATGTTCAAATTGTTTACCATCAGTCTCAATACACGCCCTAAATTATATTAAAAAAGATCTAGTTATCAGTCGGGCATATCCTCGAGAGGTGATGTCCTCAGCAGCTTGAGAAATTCGTTCACGCAGCTCGGTTACGCTGTCAATGGGCTTTGAATAAACTTTTTCTTTGAGAACGCCCCAATAAAAAAAATCCAGGGGATTTAAATCTAGGGAACGGGCTGGCCAGGAGATAGTGCCTGAACGTCCAATCCACCTTCCCGGATATTCCTGGTCAAGGAAATCTCTTACTTGAAAGATTATCCCATACAGTTTGGAAATTATGGGCATTTAAGAAAAACCTAGAAATTTGGTCAAACTCTAACCATTTTTCGGTTATTGTGGTTAACTTTTATTATTTTTGTTCATTTAAATTTTATTTTGTATTAGTTATACCTCGGTTGTTCATGGCAAACATGTCCACTATCCATCTCTGACATCAATAAGAAACATTTGAATAAAAAACATTTGAACTGAGTAAAATGGGTTAGCAAAAATGGGGTTACTCGAGGTTTTTATTTTTTTACTAGTTTTTTTTAGTATGAAACTAACAAGTTGTACAATTTTACAATATTGATTAAATGCGCAAACTTTTAATGGCACTTGCCAAGGCACTTTAGTACATTTTTTTAAAGGAGGGCCTTTCAAAGTCGACTAATTTTGAAAATTTTAAATTCATAGTTTAACAAATAGTCTTAATTCTAGAAAACTTGGGGCAGTTGTGTCATTATTTTTGACTGTGGTTCTAGAAATGTTATTTAGGGTTACGGTTCCAAAGTTTAAGTGAACAAAAATAATAAAAGTTAACCACAATAACCGAAAAATGGTTACAGTTTGACCAAATTTCTAGGTTTTTCTCAAATGCCCATAATTTCCAAACTGTAAGGGATAATTTTTTTTTTCAGATTTTTCTCATGATGGTTACAATCAATCCTGTCACTCCGTTTCGGCTTGACGTTGAGTTCTGGCACAACCTGTATATAAATGGATAAGTAGTACGGATAAACGTGCATTGAAACGTATTTACAGCGAAACTGCAAGAAATATTTTTGTCTTTACTTAATAAGCAGTTTAATATTCGTATTTGTCGTTATTCTTTTATAACATGCTCTACGTAGGAGTCCGTCTGGTGAGGTACCACTTATTTAACTGTTTTTGTCTGAACGGTATCGAGCCATTATAATTACAGGTTTTGAGGAATTGTTTCTTAGTCTACAGAGGTCATAACTATCTGTACAGCCTTCTTTCTTTTGAAGTTAGCTTTGGGTGTCTATGGAGTGCAGTAACCACTTAACATCAGGTGTACTGTTAGTTACTTTGTTAATTCAACTTTACTAAAACAGACTGAAAAAACAAGTAGTTTGAAGCTGGTAGTTGGAATAAAGTTTCCTCAATAATAATAAACTTATTACCTCATCACGGACGCTAAAAGATGTCCAGATGAACAAGACGTGATATTTATAAAAAAATAAAATTAAGCACGACATAGACAAAAAATAGGTATACTCGTAAGTCTGATGTCTTTAAATTATGTGCTGGTACGCAATAGGTACAACTATTAAATGTTAAAATGTTTTTGCTAATTGCTTTTGACTTGTTTCAATATTATAGCTGTTAGCTGGTTCTTTTTTTTTAAATCAAATCATAATTAATTTAAGAATTAACTACCTATTTTTCACGCAGCTAACTCAGGTAGATATATCTATATTAATTATCATAAAGGGATATCGTTATTATAAGTATTAATAACGATACCCCTTTAATAGCCTAGTGAATCAGTTTAATCGTATTTGCCATAGAATTATTATTCTATGCTATTTGCATTTATAATGTTAGAACTTTTGAATGTGAACATTATGATAATTAATATAGATATACCTGAGTGAGCTGCGTGAAAAATAGGTAATTAATTTAAGAATTAACTACCTATTCTTCACGCAGCTAACTCAAGTATTTCTATATTAATTATCATAAAGGGGTATCGTTAATAATGACATCCCTTTAATAGGCTAGTGAATCCGTTTAATCGTATTTGCATTTATAACGTTAGAAGATACAGTTAAATCCCTTTGTTGGAAGATAAGCAAAGATCATTTAAGTTATAACGTTGTAATATAATATGAAATACGTAGGTATCAACTAATTAGATTTCACAGAAAAATGATCTAAATATTGTTCTCAAATCTGTATAGACAATTAAATCTTAAGGGCCAAATGCGATTACGTTAGTATTGCGATAACCGTTTAAATATATGAAACTGAATGAGAAACGTCATATCGCCTGCGTTGAACACCTAAGGCACATGAGAAAATAAATCGTACCGTTTCTTTACTCATGTGCCTAAGGTACTATTATTTATTCAGTGAAAGAAGGCCCATACGTCACGCGCACTCTTTTGGTGTGCTTCGATCATTTCAACTATACTATAACTTACTGGTTGAATTTCTTCTCACTGTACCATTCAGGTAATTCCATATGTAGATCTTCAGGTTTCTTTGAATCTGAGGGCTGTTCGCTTGCCTCTTCTGTCAGCAAGCCATCAATGAATTCGTCCACTGAAAAAAATAATGGTTTTTTTTAAATTGTAATCGATCTATATTATCATTACGTGGTAAAGCCACGCTGCAATTATATAGCTGCAGTTCGACTAAGTCAGCCCGACCGGGGTAGGTTCATGCTCTCACAAAATGCCAGCGTGAAACAGCAGAGACTTCTGCGTTTCGTATGGTGTCTGTAGAGAACCGGAGATCCTTTTTAATGGTAAAGAAGCATATTATATTTTAGTCGTCAGGGGTGACAACGCATCTGCATTTTAATTCTCAATCTATGATAGCTGTAAATATAGAAGTATAGTAATAATTATTTTTATAATAATAAGCCGTTTATTGATAATCCGTATCAATAAGCATTCCTCAACGTCGACTTAAGTGCGTAATCATTTGATACGTTCTATCGATATCAGCATCCTAAGATCGTTGCTAATAAATAAACACATACAAACAGTAGGTGTCTCAGTTACTAAGATCAGCTTCTCAAGACGTTGTACTTAGGATAGTGTTCTGTGACTTGAGGGCTTGATTTCGTGAACGATCTACGTAACATTGATCGAAGTTTATAATATCATTCATCACATTTCACGTTATAAAGTATTTTTCTATCTGAGAAAGCTTTTAATTGTTTATACAGTTGTGTAAGTATTTGTAAATGGGACTTAAATATTTACTACTCAACTCAATATTTGGAAATAACTTAACATCAGTGTCAAAAAAGAAACGACGAAAACGCAGTGATTTTTAACTCTGCTTGTTTCCTTAGAACATCAATGATCTCGTGTTATTATTTAATTTTCACAAAGATTAAGACAAAATACTTTCTCGATATTGTAAAAAATATAAAGCTATGGTGGAAAATAAGGAGGAGACCGATGGCGTGTCACAAAATGATGGTAACTCAAAAGATTCGAGGCATTCCATATATGTATACATTTTTAGTAAACGATTTCGCGAGGTCCGTAAAATATCTTAATGGTACACTATTTCATGGTAATAATTAATTCCACTCATAATATTTTCAAACTTTATGATTCGCGCTACTACAATTACGATCTCAAGGCACGGACCGTCTGCACTCAGATTTTAGCATCTCAAGTACACGCACTTATTGTGTACTTGAGAGTCGAGTTTCGTTTACTAAATAGTGATGTTGAGACTACTGAGACTTGAGGTATGTTTATTATTAAAGTCATAACCTCATAATTGTTCCCAAGTGCGTGCACATGAGCTGAGGAACGTTTATCAATATGGGCCTAAGAGAATCTACTACATTATTTCGTACTGGAGGAATAGGTAGTGTGAAGCAACAATGCTAAATGCCCTTAAGACCTCAAAAAGGTAATATCGACATACATACTTTATCATGGGAGAGCCATGCTGCAGCTATATAAGAAGTATAGTAGTAGTACGAATGGGTCGGCACCATATGCTGTCTCGATAAATCGTCGATTACCAATTAAAATATGGGCTAAGATGGAATGCTTCATTTCCAGTAAAAAGGGTCTCCGATTTTCTACACTCACCATACGAAACACAGCAGCATTAAGCTGCTATTTAACATTGGTATTCTGTGAGAGCGTGGTCCCCATCGCATGAAAACACAATGTATCTCTCAAGTAATACATATTATATTAAATTAGATTGTTTAGTGCGATTGCCAAGTCAATTTATTTATTTAAAACATAAAAGATTTTTAATATTGATATGGTCACTATGAGATGTTGTTAGGTTAGCTAATTACGTAATAACTTGAGACAGAAGGGCCCTTAAGTAGGGACTGAATAAATTAACCGACTTGGTATTACATGGATCTCACAACTTTTTACGGTAGAAGAAGTGAGTTGCGAGACTTGGTTTTTTTTACAAGTTATGTTTTTGATGGCATCTCATTTCTTTTTGTAGATGGTTATATCTAGATACCTATCTACACCTATTATTCCATTATATTATACATAATATATAGGTACACTAATTCATTCACTGCAAATGTAACTTTATAATCCTATATATTTATATGGGATTACAAAGTTATTTATGCAGTTGGTGTATCTCGGAAACTGGACCGAAATTGCAAACTATTTTAGTTTTTCCTTGATTTATATTCTAAACAATAATTGTATTCCAAATTTGAAGCTTATATGTCTGCTAGAAGTGCCTTAGAGTTTTGATGATTGGTCAGTCAGTGAGTGACAAAATTAAGAAACTTTGACTAGTTATAATTCTTAAACTACTGGTTCAAATTTAATGAGGAAAAACGAGGTTTTACAATGCTTACTTGGTTATTAAAAATTCAGGCTTCTAGTTATATCCACAACGAAGTTATAGGGTTTCGAAAATGGCCTGAACTGCTTCCAGAAAAGGATAGTACGGCCGTGCCGCTTTTTTGCTCGACTTGGCGGGGGCACTGCCGTGCCCCCAGATAACTCTGGTTCTGTCGGAGCAATGTTTCAATTTTGGTAAATTAAAATCACCAATTACAATTAGTCACTAAATACTAAAATAGGAATCACATCGCAGACGCAGACAATAATGGTGTTTTCGAGGGGAGGCTGCTAGCTTGAATTCAAGCTAGATTCCTCCGAAAAAAGGGTTGTATTGTTTTACTTAAGTCACTTATTCCTACCAATTTGTCACTAAATCTTGGCATAATAAAATTTAGGATATCGTTATATATATGGAAGTGTTTTCCAAATTTGTCTCTGAGTGTATTTACAGGTTTTTATAACTTTGAGTACCTAAGTCTCGACCAAGATTTCGGCATGTTTTTAAAACGTTCTTCAAAAACCGGTTAGTTTTCCAATTTCGCTAAGTAGTAACTGGGCGAACAAGGTTAGTTCGTTTTTAAACATTTTTAAGGTATTCAAAATATCTTTTCAAATCAATAGAAGCCGTAGATGATAAATCGCAGTGTCTGAGTTAGTTTTAGGGTCTGGATGGAACATTACACTAAAGACCACTTTTGACATGCTTTTTAATATCGGATACCGATTTTTAGTATAGGTTGTCAGATATAATGAGTGGAATAAGAATCGGCGAAAGCCCATATACGTTAACACGATATCTGTCATTACACAGATCACGGAATCTGATGAAAAACATGATAAGTTGTAGGGAATAATTTATAATACATCCAGTGGCGTAACTATACCGTTAGAGGCCCGTGGCAATTTCATGGGATGGGACCCTCTCCCACTCAATATAAAGAAGCTCAATCAACGTTAAAGTTTTATTTTGTTCTATAATAAATCACTATGTGAAGTAGGTACCTACATAAAACGCTATTATGAATGGTTAATTTTCTATTAACTTTTAATTTTAAGAGCGTACTGGACAGAATTTCATGTATTTAACCTATATATTTAAAAATGGCCGATTTTATTCACCTTAAATTTTTCTAACACGAATAATTTGTATGATTTTGTGATTAATAAAAGGACAAGAACATAATATGTAGTGGTTATAATTGTCAAAATATTATTTGGTGATTTTAAAATGCGCGATGAGAATCATTAATTTAAATCTTATTGTAAATATTAATTGCAATCACTGATTTTAAACTTTACTACATCATCATTAACATCATTACAGCCACAGATTAGTTAATAGTTACAGCTCTTCACAAGTCCATATTTGAACACCCTCCCCCCTCCAAGAACTGACACACGTCCTGCATGTCTCGTGAACTACTCGTGAATATTTCTTTCCCATCGGTTGTCGGTTCTTCGAGCTATATGGCCGGCCTATTGCCACTTTTTTATAAAATTAGGGTGACAAACGAGCACACAGTTCATCTGGTGGTAAGTGGCCGTGGCCCATATACATCCTCATTTATCCTCGATTAAGAATCAAAATGCGGATGCCTTGACACCCCAGAGTACTAAGATGGAATACCTTGTTTCCAGTAAAAAGGGTCTCCGGTTCTCTACACTCACCATACGAAACACAGCAGCTTTCAGCTGCTATTTTACGCTGGTATTCTGTGAGGGCGTGGTTCTACCCCGATCGAGCCAACCCATTCGTGCTACAATCAAAACATAACTGCAGCGTGGCTCTACCACGTCACTTACTACCACTTTAGCTTACTAATCCGTTGAGCTATGTCGGTTACTCTAGTTTTACTGCGGATAACCTCATTTCTAAATTTATCACGCAGAGAAACCCCGAGCATAGCCTTCTCCTTAGCTCTGTGAGCAATCTTAAACTTCCTCGTACAGCCAGCAGTGAAGAACCACGTCTCAGATCCATAAGTCATCACTGGCAATAAGCACTAATTGTACAATCTTATTTTCAAGTTTTGCGATACACGCTTGATGAGAAGATGATCTTCCGAACGCTGCCCAAACGATTTTTATCCATCGATTGACCTCTCAGTCGAAGTTACACTTACCTAGTCGGAATATATGTCCTGTGTAAACATACTTACTGTTGGTCCGCCAAATGAATTAAATAAATAGTCCGTATACGTAAGACAAAGTGACAGATGGAACTCTTCGGTCGTCAAACAGCCTTTGTCTTACTGACGATGCAAATAACTATATTTATAGATTAAAATGACTTTTATCCTTAGATTATGTTAAAGATTATTATAAAATTCTTATTTTCTCAATTAACTAATTAAATGTGCCTCAATTGCCAGAAGCAACCAATTCCTACAACAATCAAATGATATAGTATGCGTAAGTCAAATGATGTGTGCGTGTAGTCTTTCTTATACTGTTTTGATTCCTCGAGAGCCCGCTCCACAAAAGAAGTCTTGCGGCGAAAATACGAACTAACAAGAAAACTGCATTTCTTTCAGCTACAGCGCTGCGTTTTAAAGTGGCTTTTATTACCTACCGGATACGTCCTAAAACTGTCTGGGTGATTTCTTTTTCAACAAATGCATTGAAATTTTGATAGGTACATTTTTTTGTTTAACTTGTGTATGCACGTTACCTACTGTGTAATTAATTAAAGATAAAACTAATAAAATTTACTAAATGTTGTAATAATAAATGTTGAGA